AGTGGACGCTGTGGTTTCCAAATGCTATATTCTCCCTTCAAGACTGGGACGCTTATTTCCCCATATGTCCCTTCTGTTGCCTACTGTCAACTCATAGCTGAGTTGCTTACCAGAAATCTCCCTTGGCCAAGAGTTCTCTATCATATTTACCCAAGAGCAGTCTTCATCCAATGACTGGTCAATTTGAGGGAAAAGGAGTACAAAGGCCTGGCTCCCTTCCTTCAATTCCGGACAAATTAGAAAGGCCATCCTACCTCCATAACTAAGGCCTTTGTTATGACTATATCATAGTTCAATTTCTCCCTCCGCTTAATCTTGCTTCCTTCATCCATCAAAGATATTATTCCTGAGACTACTCCCCAGCAAACTTCCTGCTGACAAATATCTGTCCCAGAATCTGTTTCCCAGGAACTTGACCTAAGACAATAGGACATTTCAGTGACCCTCCAAAATGGCCTTAATTTACTTTCACATAAAGTCATTTAAAGACAAAAAGACATAGATCTACTTCCATTATGGCCAACTTATTGGGGTAAATCTATCTCAGATATATGTGGGGGCACCATTGGCAACATAAGATGATGTAATAAATAAAACAACCCTGCCCATATCTGTAATACACAGAGTTCTTGATGCAAATATCACGTATTAAGCAAAATATGGAAATAGCCATCCTCTAAGTAGATACCACGTGATTTGTATAGTACTCAGGGTTTTCCTCTAGGCCACTCTGAAGTAAAAATTCTCTTAGTTTTGTCCAAAAGATGGATTTTGGAGCTGTTGCTGGGTTCAATTTATGTGTCCAAAATAGAGCAAGCTCTCTTGCCAAAATCATTTAGAAATATGGATATGGTTTCCTCTTTCTTAGGGGCCAATTTATTGGCTTTTTATCAAAATATACAAGATTATTTTGTAGTCTCAAAACAGAAGATGGGTAAATCTCACTGTGTTCAAAGTTTAACAGATATTTCAAACTATTTTTCAAATTGACTGCAAAAGTAGAGTCACAAAACCTTAAGGCAAACGTAAGCTGAATCTTGCTGACTCTTTTTAAAATACAATACATCCAAATACCGCTATTTTTTAAAATGTCTGAGACAGCTGGTGATATTTCAAGAGGAAAACTGGAAAGATATTTTTTTATACCTTTAGGCAAGAGTGAATTATTTCAAACACCAAGTGGTTCAAAATCCCATTGAGTTTAAGGGGCTGAGTTTCTTAGGATTTCTAGTGGGCACTGTATTTGGCATAATAAACTTCCTCTCCCGCTTCATTTCCTCCACCTCAAATAGCCACATGCCCTCTAACCAGCCCTTGGGACAGACCTCAGTGTTGAATGATGGATAATCGTCATTTTCACCAATTCGCTTTAAGAACTATGTTTAGTTTCCAAATACTAAAGCAATGTGAACGGCTCCCTTAGGAAAACAGTAAAAACACAATCTAAACAGTTTAAATCTCAAAGGTCAAATTCATAATTCTACACTGCAGCCTGGTTTTCTCCCCAAAGGCAACGTGGTATTACATACACTGTGAAGCACTGCATTCCCACGTAAGGATTAGTCATAGGCTGTCAGAGCTGGCAAGGACCTTGGAGATTATCCGTCTCTATGCCTTTCTTTTACAGATGAGACCAAAGGCTCGAGGAAGTGAGAGGAGAATGGAGAGAAAAAGAGACACAAAGTTAGATACACAAAGTTCTTCAGTTTGTTCGCAGACAAGTTGTGACCAGCCTACTTATTGAGAGCATTCTCATATACAGTGATTTCTCCCATTTCCCTCACATAGACTGTACCTCTCAGGCCTCATTCCCACCCCACCCTGCCTGCCCTCAACCTTGTCACCTCTCTCAGCAAGCTTACATCTTGTGAAGGCTTAAGGTGTTAAGTTAGAACACCTCTCAGGGTAACTACCACATTTATTATGGTCTTTTGCATCAACCTCTTTTACATAAAAAGGATGAGAGCAAGGCCTTGCTGATGCTGGCTGGGCCCATAATACAGAAGCAGGAAGCTGATAGTGTCTCCTCTTTGTTAATCACCTTGTGTGCAGACTCCAAAACCCAATGTCCTCCTTCTTTTATGCAGGACTGGAAAGGTTTCATCTTTGTTTTCTTTCCTAAATCTAAGTGCTGTGATGCCTTGGTCTACTTACTCTAACCTGTCCTGTAACATATTCTGTCCTTTCTAAGGCTTCCTAAGGTTTCAATCTCTACCCCGACCCTTGTCACCTCTGTTCCTCTGTCTTTTCAGCTATACTCTTTTCTTAATGACGAATGTCATGTTTCTTTTCTTAGTTTAAGGGCGTTTTAGACAAAAGTCTCTTGTAATCCTGGACAAAGATCGGGGGTCTAGGGATGGGAAACTGGGATTTGTTATAAAATGGGGGATTGAGGGGCCCCTGGAAGACTGAGACTTCCGTGAAAAAGATCAAATCACAAGATGTCTTTTATACATGTCTTTCCAATGCTGCAAATCTTAAATGCTTTGAAACCGTGATTTCACTATAAATGAGTTTCCATCAGGCATTTTGTATGGGGCCAATAGTGAGATGTAGTGAATAACCAAGCAAATAGATTACATACGTTCTCTTTATAATGTAGACTTTGTCATGTGCAAAGACGGACTATTTGGCATTGGTGTTTGCTTACTAAAGGAGCTGCTGCCAGTGTTCAGTACCACAGCAGATCCATTTAGTAGGCATGATGAAAAACCCGTGCTCTAAAGCCACCACCAACAGGAGGGAGTAGTGTGGATGAAACTCAGGGGCTTTGGAGGCAAAAATCCCAGGTACCAAACCTGATTCAGCCACATTCTTGCATAAGCTTATACAAATCCCGTAACCTCACAGAACCTCAGTTTTCTTATCTGCAAAAGGTTTTAACAAAACTTACTTAATGGGTTTGATGTGAGGATTCAATAAGATGACTTTATATATATATATACACACACACACACACACACACAGATACATATACATATATATGCATATATTACATGTACATTAACATACATAAATGATGCCTGATCTATGATATGATAGTCAATAAATGGTAACAATTATTTTTAGTGATCAAAATAAGTTTTTAGAGATTCAAGTTACCATACACAATGGCAATACTTTGACAATCTAAAAACTATCCCACAACATAAACTTTTAAGGCATGTTCCATTCTTTTTTTCTATCTCTATTAGTGCCAAGTCAAAAAAAAAAAACTGTTTTTTCTTTTATTTCCATATCTTCTGCTATGGGTAAACAGTTAGTTTAGAAGAAAAGAGCTGAAGTCCAGGAAACTCACACACTATATAATTAGGCAGTGAATAATTGAGAGTCAACTGAAATGGATATGAACTTTTTAAATAACATCACAGGTTGAGATCACATCTACCAATAAGATAGTAATATCATTCATTAAGGCATTTGATTTCTATGAAAATTTGAGAAAAAGTCAGGCAGATGTTCTCATTCATTTTATAGGTGAGAAATTTGAGGCTTGATGAGATTGTGTGATTTGTCCGAAGTAAAAGGGCTTGCTAATAACAAGACAAGATAATAACAGGGAAAAAACTCAGATTTTTGTACTTTTTTTGAGCTAAAACTTATCTATAGAAAAGTGTACAAACCTTAAGTGTACAGTGCAATAGCCTGTCATAAACTGAACACATCCATGTACCCACTACCCAGATCAAGAAATGGAATATTAGTAGCATCCAGTGCTGCTTATGCTACTCCCAGTTACTACACCTCAAGGTAACCAATATCCTCACTTCTATCACCATTGATTAGTTTTACATGTGTTAAAAATTTATATAAATTGATATAAACATTCTCTTTTATGTCTGGTTTTTTTTTTGCTCATCATTATGTTTTTGAGATTCATCCATCTTGCTGTATGTAGCAATAGTTTCTTTAAATTCACTGCTATATAATATTCCATTATATAAATACACTGAAATTTATTTATCCATACTTTTACAGAAAATATCCGTGTTGTTTATAGTTTTTGGCTGCTATGAACATCACTGGACATGTTCTTTGGTGTATATATGTACACTATTTCTGTTGAGTATATAACTAGGAGTGCAATTGCTGGCTAATAGCTATGTATAAAAGAAGCCAGATCTTTTGACTCTGGGACCAATCTCAACGTATAAATATCCTCAGCATGAATGGACTTTCTTCTGACACACACAGCAATGGAATAGCAAGATCAGGGGGTGAGGAGCATAAGATGGACTGAAAGCCTTTTGGATGCTATTGGTATTGAGCAGTATTGCACCAGAAGTGCCATAGAAAGAACATGTAACAGAAAGCCTGGAATCCAGTTTCAACGATCAGTCTATTGCTTATTAGGTGTGCCATCTTCAACACGTCTCAGAGCGTTTGCAATTTTTATTCCCTCTGTCCAAATTACTCATCCCCTTCCTTTTGTCTTGAGTAACTCCTACCCATCCTTCAGGACTCAGTGTAATTCTCACTTCCTCAGCACAGCCTTTTCTGATATCCCCAATCCAGATCCAATTTGCTATTACTTGTCTCACAGAAACTTGTACTTTTCCTTTTTTAAAAAATTATTTATCTTAATATTAAGTTTATAAGTGATCATTTTTATAAGTATTGGTTTATCATATACATCATTAGCTGGTAAGTTCTGTGAGGGCAGAGATGGGTCTTTCTTGCTCATCATATGTGATTGGGGTCCCCAAGACCATCCTCAGCTTCGATAATTTGCTACGAGGACTCACAGGACTCGGCAGATATTTGTACTCACAGTTACGATTTCTTAGAGTGAAATGATACCAATGACAATCAGCAAAGAAAAAACCAGGCACAAGCTTCCTCACCCAGTGAATCACACAGTGCACCTAATGTCCCCAACAACACATGGTCACAACATATGTGAAATGTTACCAACCAGAGAAACTCATTAGATACTCAATGTGCAAAGTTTTTATTGGAAGCTGGTAACATATGTACCCTCAGCCTAGCACATGCCTAAATCCCAGACTCCCAGAAGGAAAGCAGGTGTTTGGCATAAAGCACATTGTTTGTATAAATAGTTTAAGCACAGTGAGCTACTCTTATCAGTTCTGGGATGGAGGGAACCCTCCCAAAATTCATGTTCCCAGACACCAGGACAGTAATTCCATGGATGGTTCTCAAAATGAGGATTTAGTTCAGGAAAATATCAGGAGATAATGGTTAACAAATTTAAATACTTTTTTGATTTTTCTTTAAATGGAGGAATTTCAGAGCCTTTAGCTGTATAAATCTCCCAGGTGGTGTGGAAAAATAGAGTATACAACGTTTCTCAAATTCTTTGACCATGGCATACTTTTTTTTCTCCCTTAGTTTTTTTCTTTTACATTCTTTTTTTTTTGGGGGGGGGGGTGAGAAGATTGGTCCTGAGCTAACATCTGTTGTCAATCTTCCTCTATTTTGTATGTGGGACACTGCCACAGCATGGCTTGATGAGCAGTGTGTAGGTCCACCCCTGGGATCCGAACCCACAAACCCCAGGCTGCTGAGGTGGAGTGCACGTGAACTTAACCACTACACCTCCAGGCCAGCCCTTCTCCTTTAGTTTTTAAGGAATTCGTGTTCCGTGAAGAACACACCAACAAATGTTGTTCTAATTTCAGCCCCTTCTCTCAGGCCAGTCACCTTCCCATCTCAGCTTTCTCCTAACAAGGCTCAGGGTACAACAGTCCAAAGCATATTTTTCAGGTTTCATAGAACATATTAGAGTTACAGTTGTTTAGCCTATTAATTCTCTTACTTCCTTCTAAGCCACTTGCCATCATGACCTTAACCCCATAACACAACAGATTCTGGATCAGAGATAATGGAAAAGTAAAGAGGTTAAGCTATGTTCACTGATAACAAGACAACATCCCACCTTATATGACCCAATTTCTGTTTCTTGGCAGAATTTTGCAAAGGTAACTTAGTTTTGCAAAGGTAACTTAATTGAAACTCATTAGCATGTTACTGACCATACAGCACAAATAGTGTAGAACAGAAGTAATTAGCCACCGTTCCAGTTGAAAACCTACATTCAGTTCTTTTTCTATTTTCTTCATAGCTTCTGGGGTTGAGACTACTGAAGTGAAGGCTGTGTCAAAGAGGTCATAAATAAAGCCACTGCTTTGGATAATTAATATACAGTGCTGTGGGTTTTTTTCAGGCCAAGACTATTACTTTTTGATAAAATACTATGTATATTCATACAGGAACTCATTTAGAAAAATGGCTTTCATATAAACATTAAAGGAACACCGTATTTTTCTTCCCAGGTTTAATTGGACAATTTTAACACAAAGCAAATTGAGTAAAATAGACTCCAGGTTTCTCTGCAAAGCAATAGTTCACTAAATTTAGCTAGGTGTATGCTTAATGAAAAAACATAATTTTTTCATAGGTGAAGGAACTGAGACAACAGCTGTTTGTCAAACAATTCAGACCATATGTTTAGACTCATCAGCCACTTCTGAAAGTATTGGTAAATTAGCTGGCATCAAGTCTCAACCATGAGCAATGAATGCAAAAAATTAATTCCCCAAAGACTGATAAATTTTCTTCCAATCCTAAAGATAGGGACCAAAGCTATATATTTTTATGATGAGAATAAAAAAGAACTGTCTCAAGAATGATGTTTGGCTGGAGTCTCTTTTATGGGATCACTAAACCATTCATGAGGACTCTACTCTCATGATGACCTAATCATGTCCCAAACAGGGGACACAAACATTCAGTCTACAGCAGGAACAGTCCACACACTTGGTGCGTCAGAATTAACTGGTGGTATTTTTTTAAAATGAAGATTATGGAGCCCCATCCCAGATCTGCTTAATCAGAATCTTTGGGAGGAAGGCCTGGGAATCTACATTTGTGTACGTGTGTGTGTGTGTGTGTGTGTGTGTGTGTGAAGAAGATCAGCTCTGAGCTAACATCCATGCCAATCCTCCTCTTTTTCCTGAGAAAGATTGGCCCTGGGCTAACATCTGTGCCCATCTTCCTCCACTTTACATGGGACGCCGCCCCGGCATGGCCCGACAAGCAGTGCATCAGTGCGCGCCCGGGATCCGAACCCCGGGCCGCCAGCAGCGGAGTGTGTGCTGGCCCCAGGGAATCTACATTTTTAATATGCTCTATGTATGATTCCTATACACACAAAAATTTGAAAATGACCTTTTCAGATGACCACAGATGGACAAGATCATATCCTGTTCTCAGGGCCAGGTTAGGTGATTTTTAGCTGGGTTTTGAAGGGTGGGTAGGACTTGAGAGTTAAAACTTAAAGGAAGAGGCATTCTAGTCAAAAATGTCATGGGTGGACACACAAAGGCAGAAAAACAAATTCTATTTATCAAACTGTGAAAGACTGGTTTTGTTGGGGACAAGATGTAAAGTAGAGGAGTAGTAAAGAGAAAAATGAGAACGCACACAGGAGCTGGACTGTGACTGGTTGTCTCACTGGAAAGCATCCCCTTCCGGTAATCAAGAAGATACAGATGGTCCTCTGGGTATAGGCGCCCTAGGCAAACAGAGCAAACCTTATAGGTTCAAAGATGGAGAAGATTCTATTTGCGGGGGAGGTGGAGAGAGGAAAGTTTTCTGTAGAGGATGCACTGCTTTGTTTTGAATTGTCTATTTACTTATTCATATTCAGTTTTGATCCAAAAATTTAGGAACAAGCTCTGATGATCTAATTTTGTTCACAGAATTAATAAGTGAGCTTTGTTGATGTGTCTGCATTTTAGCGTCCTCTGATAAAGCAGTGCTAATCATCTGCTGTGGTGGATGAAGATAAGCACACAAAGACTGTGATGTACTTGCCCTCCCTTTTTATAATTAACTTTTGAATTTGTGGTGCCTTTTAGGGTCTAAAATAAAATGGTAGGCAGTGAAAGTTTGATCCTCAGACCCATTTAATAGCACCAGTGGATAGTAGATCTTGCTATTCTATTTAATATTTTACTATTTTATTTTTTAACTTAAACTTCTGATGCAATCAGACTCTAAATTTTCATGCTTTTTCACTCTTAAACTGCTTTAGCTCCCCGATTCAGGGATGTGTGCAGATCACTATTATTGAGTGCGAGGGTTAAACTTTCAATCGATAGTCCTCAGCAGGAGGCCTATATTCCGTGAGAACAATCTAGTGCTGGGCCACAAGCCCCCTGTGGCTGCTGTGCTGGGAGGACCCTGCAGCCCAGCTGGGACAGCATTTCCTTCTCAGCCACCTCTTGCATCAAGCTGTGTCCTACAGCTGCGGTGCTCCTGTGCCACCACCGTTCATGGCACACAACCCCAAACAGGCTGAGACTAGTTGTTCTCATTCAAATACCGGCATGAACACAGGTCCTCGGCCCAGTGTGGAAGAATAATCCAGGGTCATGTGGCACAGAACATGGCTACCTATTTAAGCAATCGCCTGGAAGTTCCTCTCAACCCCTTTGGAAGGGCATTGTGGTCACGTTAGGTTACACTGCTGGCCTTTGTACTGAAGAATACTAGATATTCAGTGCAGGAATCTTTAAACACAGGCAACTTGGTATCTAAAAATGGCCTACAACATGCTTAAAAAGAGAGATAATTCGTCCATCCTCAAATGTCGAGGGCTTGATTTTGGAAGCTTGACCATGAGTGACTGAACTCTAATCCATGGTAGAGAAGTGCCTCCTATCTGATTTGAACCGTAAATGGTGGTATTGGAAATCATCTCAGGTTCAAATTTTGCAGTATCAAATTCAAATTTATCGACAAAATGTATAAAGCCTCCAGGATGATGAATCTGTGAGAAGCTCAACCAGTAGACCATAGAGAGCACAAATTGAATATCCAGGCCTGAATGCAAAAGTGACTCCACGGCTCCAGGGCCTCAGCCTCCAAATAAAAAAGTGAGATTAAGCAAGTCACCATGGAGCTGGAGTGACCAGGTCCTTTTCATCACTTCCAGGGATTCTTAACCACTCTTGCTGCAATGCTGGGTTCTTGGGACCCACTGCTGCTGGGAGTGGAGCTGGAGGCACATGCAGAGATAGGCCAGTGTCCCCAGTTCTCTCATGCCTGGGCACCAGGCCCCCATGGTATCTGCACATGACCCAATGACTACACAGCATAGGACCTGGGCCAGAGCCCACATGGTTATGTGCCTATCCTGCTCTCTCACTGCAGTCTCACTTCAAAGCTGAGTGTTGTGACCCAAACAACTGATGAATGACTTGAAGCCATTTCCGAAAAGCATGAAGTAGATTGTCATTCTGGTTTAACACCCAAGCTGTTATTTGCAAAAACTACTTTAACCTTCTAGTTCTCTCCATGTTTTCTCTGCCCGGAAGCTGACTATCAACCACAGCAATCTCTCTATGTCTCCCAATGTATTTACGTCATATCCTCCCACCACATGGAATAATTCTGTCTCCACCCTCCTCTCTGAGGGAAGCGTGAGTTTTAAACAGAGCAGGCAGAGGCCTCCCCAAAACTGTGATTTCTCCGTTGGTTCTGGTATATTTTCTTGGTCTGGAATGATCCTGCCAGGTGGATCATTTCTGTACCTCTTTCCCTATACTGGAGGAAAACCGAAGTGGCTTGAGGGAAAATCATGCTATTTAAAGTCTGGTAGACAGGTATTAGTTGTGTGACTGTGGGCATGTTATCAAACTTGGTTGCATTTCAGTTTTCTCCTCTGTAAGACTAGGACTGGGTATGAAAAGTATCTAATGTAGTCCGTGGCAGGGAGCAAGTATTCCAGTGATTGCTGTCAACCTCCTCATTATTGTTATATTTATATATTAGAGACAGGGACTTTTTAGAGCAGCTGGACAGCACCTGGGAGTCACCAAACCCCCATATCCTGCATCTCACGGACTTATAAAATAAGCCATCTTGGGCCAGCAGTTGGGTAGATGGAAACATGGAATTTGTTGTGGCCCCTGAAGCTACCGCAGGGATCAAGGTTGGGCTGGAAGAGATACCACCCAATTAGCAAACATTCTTCCTCTATCTTGTAATTTGGCTGTGGCCTGGCAGGTTAGAACCCAGATGGAAACTGAAATACCTCCTAGCAGATGAGGGATGTATT